AATTATTACCTTAATTAAAAGCTATAAGTAGACAAATGATATTTTTGGCATGGCCAATCACAAACTAAAGGGAACATCAGGTGTGTGCATGCTATTTGCCCTTTTTATCTCAAGGTGCAAAGGAGGCTGGGATGCTTTTAGTGGAGAGGAAGGTAAAGAAGCTGGATTGCTGAGAGACAGTGGCGAAGTGTCAGATAGTATGTGTGGTTTAGATCATTCTTCCTTTGATCTACTTACGAATAATAACAGTTCAGCTTGGAGCACGTGTTGTCATGGCAGAATAACTGGAATAGAAGGCCAAAGTGGGCAGCCTGAGGAGTGTATAGTAGATTCTAGTATGGAAGAAAGTGTTTTAAATGCGATAGGTAACAATCCCGGCACATCGAGAGACGAGAGCATGCTAGAATGCGGAATGGAAGACTTAGATTTTTCCTTCATTGATCTAATTATGAACGATGGCTCGTCGTGGAATGGTGACTATGCAGACATAATAGATGATGTATTCGATCAGACTGGCCAACTCGAACAGAACATGGTAGAAAATAATATAGACATGGGAATTTTTAGCACTGAGGCAGATGGCAGTGCTGAGAAAGCAAAAAGTATGCATAAAATAGCAAGTGTGATAGATGATTCAGATCTTGTTTTTGATGATCTAGAAGCAGATAGCTCTATCTGGAATGCACTAGAGTCTTCTATCTCAATAGATGAAATTGAACAGCAATGTAGCTATCTTCAGCAGTCTGCAGGAAAGGCTAGTACAAGCAAGAAATCTTCTAGCGGAGAAAGTAGCAGTGCTGAGCCATTTGCACACATCGAAAAAAGAGATAAAAGTGAGCAGAATAGCTTGAACACATATCCAATTCTCTCTTCCATACTAGGAGATAAAAAAAATGAAAAAGAAGGCTTGCTAAGGAAAGACTCCTATGCTGAGTTTGTGCATAGGGAGTCCTTAGAAATAATGAGAAAAAAAGATGACTTGCTTCGGAAACAGCGAATGCTAAGGTCTAGAAGGATAGGCGATGCAATGGAGAAAAAAGGCCTTAACACTAAATTCTGGGACAGCAGACTGACAGTTGTAAGGAGAAGAGCACGTGACAAGTTAAATTACAAAACAGTAAGTGAGTTTAAGAGCTACAAAATAGATATGATCCGCATGGTAAAAGCTGAGCCGTACCAAAAGCATCTTGAAAAAGACATTGAATACTTCTCCGTCCATCTTGCTCCATTGGTAGATCGAAATGCACTGTGGTACTTTATTGCAAGCAGAACCACCAGTCTGAATTTAAGACACAAAGAGCTTTTTGGTCTGATGGAGCTGTTTAGAGAGAGAAGTGACAAAAAAGACGGGAAGGATAGATACATAAAAAAAGTGGAAAGCTTTAAAGGATACTATGCAGGAGTGTTTGAGGATATGCTAGAGTATGTAAAAAAGCATGGGCCGATGAGAATTAGCAGAGGCAACACTCCAACCGTCTGGAAGAAAACTCTGGGCGATGTTTACATGACAGAGCATCTTCTTCCAAAGTGCAGCATGTACGAAGAAAAGAGTGCGCTCATCCACATCAGCAAAAAGCACTCTGCGCTGGTTTATGCTGTGCGCATGATTCTAATACTGCCAGAAGTGTACCAAGACTTCTCTATGATTACCACTGATCTTATAGAGGAAACCCGCACTGCAGAAGATGCATACACAAACTCACAAAACAAAGAAGTTCTGTTGAAAATACATAAGCTAGTGCACACACACATGGAAAATAAAGCAGACAGCAGAGTGTATACCGAGCTTTACGATGCTCTCAGTAAGGTGTGTAAAGGAAAAGAACCAGTCGAGCCAATGGCCACTAGTCTGTATAAGGAAATATACGTTATTCTTGCAAAATTCTATGAGAGTGTGGAGGTGGTTGACAAAATAAAAAAGTATGTTTTGGCAGGAAAGTGTGTAATAACAAACCAGAAGTACGTAAGATGCGAGGCAATAGTAAACTTGGCGGCAGATAGTTGTGTTAAAAATACTCTGTATACAACATATTCTGTGGAGGAAAATAAATGGGATACTATGCATACTGTTCCACCACACTACCATGTGTACTACATAGACAACACAACGAATAGCATACAGCCACTGTGCATGCCTATGTATCTAGACAAGAGCGGACAAGAGCAATATCTGCACACAGTTGATGAGATAGTAGATTACATAAAGATTCTGTACAAAATAGAAGAGTGTTCAGATGCTATACATCCGTTTAAAGTAAGAAAAGGCACTAGAAAGTGGTCATACGTCGAGAAGCAAGACAGAAGTAAAACAGTGAAAGGCTTTGCAGAATATGAAGTAGTGTTCTATCGCATTGATGAAGAGCTAGAAGCACAAAAGTTTACGTTTGCAGAGTTTTGGCCTCTGAATCCGCACGATGCCGGCAGCATTTGCGTACCACTATTTCTCACTCCTCTGATGCAGTCTGCAGTGGACCTAGGGCCTTTTACTGCGGAGGAAGAGTGTATAGAGCTGGACTCCATAGAGTTTGAAGACAAAGTGCCTGATGTGTATATGTATTCTGCCAAATGGAAGGAAAAAGAGTACTCAGATGTGCATAAGTACTACAGCAACCTATACATACCCTCAGACGAAGAAAAAAAGAAAAATATTAACTGCTACACTATGAACTGCCAGATCGAAAGAACAGACAGCAGTTTCATTAAGATCGTGTGGTATGCAAGAATGTCTAGCAGTGCAGATGAATACACACACTGCGCACTTGACAGGGCCTTTAAAGAAGAAGAGAATGCAGAAAAGTTTGATGCTTTTGTTGCAGCACTAGAGTCAAAAGAACACAATCAAGATAGCAATCTGCAGGCCTTCTGGCTGAAAAAGAGCCATGCACCATACAATGAAGAAGAAGGTCAGATATACACAATGTACGGATGGCTTGTAGATAGGAACAGCAATGAAAATGAAAGTAAGAAAATGAGAAGCCTGGAATGTCTTGAATTGGAGATTGGTAAATTGGAAGATAAGCTAAAGCAGGTAGTAAAGGAGCAGAAGAGCTTAGGAAGGTTTAACAAAATAAAAGACACAGAAAGAGTGAAACAAAAAAAGAAACTAATAAGCACGGCAAAGGGCAAACTTGCAAAAAAGATAAAAACTCTGCAGAGAGAGCTGATATACGCAAAGCTGTCTAGGAAGCCCAAAGCACCGGTAGACTTTATAGTGTTTAGAAATGTAAACCACAGTAAGTCCAACTTGGGAGCGCACAATGAGATCCTTGACGTTTTAACGTCGCATTTTACAGCCAAAGGCTGATTTATTCATTAAATTTGTGCAGTGCAAAGACCATTCATTTT